TTTTGAAAAAGTAACTCAGATATTCTCTTGTAAATTAAAAAGTAATGCGTTACTTTACTAGTTACTTGAAAAAAAGTAATCTGATTACGTAACTGGCGTTACTTGTAATATATTACCCCCAACACTGATAACAGCACATTTGAAAAAACGTATTTTTTGTAAGGGATTACAGACACGTTCAGAAACATACATGATGCAAACTCATCGTATAAAAGGTCACAAAGTGCACAATGTCTTACTTTGCTGTGACAGAGCTTCATGAATGAAACTGGCTGTTGGGTAGAAAAATGGTGCGACGTCAAAGTGTCTGCTGTCTGGTGCCTCCACGCCGTGATACTCTATGTTTGTGTCCCAGTAGAAATCAGCTCCGGTGTGGATGTGAGCGGGTCCGTGTGCAGCGTTGATGACGTGAGTGATTCCTAGATGTCTTAGAAGTGTCTTGTCTTTCGCTGTCGTACTGAGAGAATCACGCAAGAGTTAATTCTGTGCGGTAGCTCTCAAATCTCATTTGCACTCACGTATATTCAAACTTCTGTCATGTGATGCGTGAGGACCAGTAGCATTTGCATGAATTAGATGTTTGAGCTACTGCAGTAGAATGAAAAAGTACAGCAGATTCTTGTCTTGTCAAGCATTAAGTGGAAATCATTCATTAGAAGACTAAAAGTGTTGCATTGGAGTCTGGTGGTGTAATACGCACGCATCACTGATGTAGATGTCGGGCCAGACCTCATTATAGGCGCTGGAGGGTCGACGGTTCTTTAGCAGGAGGGTCAAAAGGTCACAGATGGGCGGAGTCTCATATCCAACATCCTGTTTCTCAACTTCCTGTGTGCTCATTCTTTAATGGGTCGCATTATGGAGAATTTCATTTAGATTGATCTTTTGAAATAAAAGAGCTGGATGTACAATGAGAACATAATGTCATTTTTTGCTTTTTCTGTTCTTGACAAACTCACATGTTGTTTCTCTGAACTCTTCTTCTGTTTCTTCTGCCAGGTCTGTCGTCCCCGTGGAGTGTGTGTGTGATTGTGATGCAGTAAGTGATACGTGTCTCTATTTTGGCCTCTTTGCGTGTTGGTAAATATAGATGAGACACAAACAGACAGACAGCTGAGGATCTTTGAGATGTTCATTCAGGTAGAGATGGTTTACATTTTAAATTTGTTCTTTTAATGTATAAAATAATAGAAAATGTATCAAATTATATATTTTAACAAATCTACTTTTTATTTGTTAAAATATATTATTTTATTAAATTCTCTGAACACTAAGAGGCTTGATGTCCTGATTACATATATTTTTTATTTTCATGTATATACTTTAATAATTGAAATATAATTGTATATTCAAGGCACATTCTTGATCTTATTGTGCACAATCTTCATTATATTTATAAATCTGAAATCCTTTTGGACAGACGTTTTATGTTTAACCCCTTCCCTCCTGTTTGTTGCTCTGAAAGCACTACAGTGTTAAACTGTGAATGTTACCTTATTGTGTCTCTGAACATTAAGCAGGAATAGCAGAATTTTTGACAACAACAGAAAATGCAACAACTTTAAAAAAAAAAAAGAGAGAAATTAAATCCTGTATCAAATCATGTAATTCCATCATATACATGTAAGGCAGATTCTGAATCATGCATTTCTGTCAGGGAATTTTCATAACCGTTCTTCATGTGAATAATTCTGTTACCGTATGTAATGTAGTGTGTTTGTGATTAGTGAGCATGTTAGAAGGCAGCGCTCTGGCAGTGCAGTGTTGTGTCCAGTTCTCTCAGTTGCTCCATGAAGCCGGAGTTTGGGCAGATATTCCTGTGTTGTGAGACGGCTTTAATGGCCTCAACCAGCGTCATGCCCTCATGAATCATCAGATACGCTAAAACCAGCGACGAGGAGCGACTCAGACCCATCGCACAGTGCACAAGCACCTTACCTAGTGAAAAACAAGAAAAATGTCCACAGATTTTTAAGAATTTATCAAAACCATATTTCAGTAAGACAGAAGAAAATTACATTCATTTTTTATAATTCTTTTTTTAATTAAATCTTAAATAAAGAAAATGGCTATATTTTGGATTAAGAAAAAAATAGGATTTATTTGAGCATTTTGACATTTTCCTCACTCAAATTTGCATTAACAACAACAAAAAAACTAAATTATTTTATTATAATTATAAAAAAAATATTTAATTAAGAAATCATCATCGTGCCAGTTATTGAGATGCTATTATAGTTTTTATTAACAGTAAAAAGTTTTAGTAATTATGTTGTGTGTTTTGCCAATTTTATTAGAATATAAAAAAATATGTCTATATGGCTTTTTTTCATTTTATTTAACTTTTAGTTATTTTAGTACAACAAGGTTTTAGTTTTAGTTAAGTATAATAACCCTACACTGTGCATAATAAGAATTGCTCAATAGTTAATCATAAAATTACACAAAATGAACAAATTTTAATGGTCCTAAAAACTGATGTAGCTGATGTGTTTTGTTTTGTTTCCTCTCCTCACCTCCAGGGGTGCTCATGGCAGTCTTGATGAACTTGGTGGCGGAGTAGAAGAAGGGGCTCAAGTCAAAGGAGGGCATGTCAAAGGCCTCCACGCCGTGGTAGCTGATGTTAGTGTCTCTGTAGTAACTGGCTCCTGTGTTGACGCTGAACTTCCCGTGAGCTGCGTTCAGGACGTATGTGATGTTCAGAGATTGCAGCAAGTGCTTGTCCTTCGCTGCGTACCTGAATGAGATGCAGTCACAACACATACAGACTGACACTTGATATTTTCTTTTTCTATTTTTCTTTCGTTACACATTTATAACAAGATAGGGAGCATATACCAACTTTGTAAGGCACATTGATTAACTAAAAAAGGAGCAAAAATTTGAGTAGAATCACTTTAACAAAGATGTAAAACAGATTAAAACAGGGCAAAAAAAAAACAATTTTTTACGCATTAATTTTCCATGATAAATATCTAAACATTCTTAAAACAAGATACATTTACTTGAGAGGCGTACGATATTAAGTCTTGCTTTCTGAATAAATTGTATCAAAATTAAGTGTTTTTGCTTAAAATATGAAAACATAATCTTGTTTTCCCTTTAAATAAAGATCATTTTTCTTACCTTATTGACAGTTAAACGAACAAAAACAAACACATTTTCATTTTTTTTTTTTTTTACAAAACAAGACTTAATATCTTGAGTATCTTAATATCTTTTTTTTTTTGCAGTGAATATTGTAAATATTTTTGACAAAGAGGAGGATGTTTTCTGTCTTTATACTTTGTTTTTTTTTTAAGTATTTGACACTTTCTCAAAAAAAAGTTCTCATAAAATCATGAAGAAATAAAGTAATAGCAGGTTTATATTTCTTCCATTAATATGTGTGAATATGATCCTTACTTACCATAATTCCCGTATTCAAAAGGTCAGAAAACTGGGGATTCAAAATATTCTTAAAAACGTGCACTCTAAAAAATGCTGGGTTAAATATAACCCAGCGCTGGGTTCAAAAGGGACAAACCCAGCTATTGGGTTGTTTTGACCCAGCGGTTGGGTTGTTTTGACCCAGCTATTGGGTTGTTTTGACCCAGCAGTTGGGTTGTTTTGACCCA